AAAAAAAGGTTACACTGGTCAATTTAAATAGTCCGTGGTATAACTGGTCCAATTTGTATGCCAAGCACATTTTTGCTCATGTGAAGAGGATATTTCTGTCGATATACGAACGCGCGTGAAGTACAAAGCCTCTACATTATAAATAATAGTTTAATTCAAATACATTGTGAATATGGAAACATTAGGATTTGTGCCAAATGAGAGGTACGTGAGCCCAATTAACTCCTGGTACTTTCAGTTTCGCTTTGTTTTGGTTTCTTTACGTTTATATATTTTTATTTCATTCTTGTTCTGTTCTGAATAGCGTTACATTTATATTATTTGTTTTGGAGTGAGCTATACTAACGTATAGCTATGTTTATAGTAGGGCTGTGTGATTAATCGAAATCGTCATAAAATTTATAGCACGATTTTCCGTGCCCCCGACCTCCCGCAGTATGCTATCCGAACCAATCAGAGCGCAGCGCGCCTAAATGGAGCACGAGAACAGAACAGACCGGGCGGGCATACAAACGTAATGCCAGGTTCACACACTCCGTCTGTGGTGCGTATTTTTTTCGCGTCCATGTTAACGGATCAGAGCGTTCACACTACACGTGATTGCGGTCGGGCAGTGCGCTCCAGGAGCGGTGCGTCTGCAGCAGTCATGCTGCGATCGTTTTTGCACGGAATCCTGCACTGCTGTGCTGCACGCGCTGAAAGTGACAGCGCATTATTCGCAGTAAAAAATAACATGGATTGGCACGGAAATTTCTGCTTCTGCACCGGATACACATACTGTATACGCATTGCAGACGGAGTACATGTGAACTTGGCGCAACAAATCTAGTTCAACAATTGAGGCAACGCCACAAAGAGCTCTATGACCAATGCATGGCAAAAAAAAATCCCTGGACACGGGATTTTTATTTTTTCTGCCATATGTCTATTCTAGAGACATTTTTTTACACCTTTACTTAGTGATTATTTTGCCTTATGTCTGTTCTAGAGACATGTTACAGCTTTTTGATAAAGCTCTAATTGGTTTTCTTTTGGAAATATGTTTCAAATTCACACTGAATGCATTTATGACTGTAAAACATGTCTGTGTGTCAAAATCGTGATTAAAATTGAAATCGCAAAATTGATCAAAGAAATCGCGATAGGTTTTTTTTGTCCATATCGCACAGCCCTAGTTTATAGTGTTTAAAATGTTTATACATTATAATAGTTCACTTTATTTGGTATTATTTCTGGCATTTCTGGTATTATTACACTCTCTCCAAACGTTCAGCTGCTCACAAAACAATAAGCAGTAAGCACCAATCAATGAGAGCGAGTTTGAACTTAAGAAAGCTGACTGGTCACGGTCAAAAATATGTTGAGACCCAATACATAACCTCCAAATACATAAACCTGCGCTCGCTCTCATATGCACGCAGGCACTGTCACAATCTAATGCCGGATCCTTAAAAACAATTACCGGAAAGCAAAAATCCAAAATCGGACATTTTCCAGAACAGGATCTGGCTCAAATTAAGCACTGGCTACAGGAGACCTGCATGTCTTAGAGAGTTATGTAATTGTGTTAAATGACAGTGCTGAGAGTGGACTTGCACAAACAAGTTAATGTGTTCCCCAAGTACGTCAACGATTTACACCGAAAGTAGCAACAGAAACAGCACTATATTTCTGAAACACATAAATATTAAAATATTTTAAATATTTAAATATTTGAGTCAAATGTAAAATTAACAAAAATTCATAAAGTTCAGATCTCTTTATTAGGGGTGCAAAAATCTATCAAATTAATTATATTGACAATAGTAAATTAATCAAATGAACTGCAATTAATCACATATACACTACCATTCAAAAGTTTAGGGTCAGTAAGATTTTTTTTTAAAGAAATAAAATTGATCAAAAGTGACAGTGAAGACTATTACATTGTTATAAAGATTATATTTGGACTCTTTTTAAAATAAATTTCTATAAATAAGTTGTATAACAAAAAAAAAATCACTCTGAAAAGAATTCTGAAAGAATTTGTTTTTCAACATGAAACCATGATTTCTGAAGGATCCTGTGACACTCAAGACTTGTATAATGGCTGCTGAAATTTCTGCTTTGCCATCACAGGAAGAAATTACATTTTAAAACATTAAAATATAAAATAGTTATTTTAAATTGTAATAATTTTTCCACAATATGACTGTTTTACTGTATTTTTGTTAAAATGAATACAGCCTCTGTGAGCCTAAATTTTGAACAATAGTATATTAACATTTTGCTGAAGAAAAAAACTTTGACGAGTGTTAGATGAGTAAAGCATTAGTCAAAAAGCAGCTTTAGAAATCAATATATTGTCCACAGCAATCCATTTCGCAATCAAGTTTGTCAATGTGTCTTTAGCAGTTGTTCACACAGGATGCGTTCTTTTGTTCGGAACCTTTATACATATGCAAAATGTCTTTGGCCATTACGTTGTGTCCTACTGTTTTAAGGTTTTTTCACCATAAAAGCCATGTTTTTGACAATAATTAATTGTACTATATTAAGTTAAATAGCGAGCCCTAGTCTTTATTCAATTCACATTGTTCTGATTCGACAATGTACAATGCGTAAACAGCATTATTGTTTGCTTGATTAATCTCAGTTTTGCTGAACAAATGTATCTCTTTAAAAGCTCTTTCTTACTTCTAGCAAACACTGTCAAATACACTCCCCTCTCTACTCTCTTTATTTTAAAAGCAGATAATTGAACAGGACAAGATAGACAAGAATCAACTGGCAGCTATCAACAGGTTGTTCCCGTCTGAAGTTATCTCACTCACTGTGTTCGGAGGGTGAAAGCCGCACTGGTGATGGAGGTAGGGAGGTTCAGGCCTTTGGTAATCTCGCGCCATATTTTCTTATTGATGACTTCCACTAAGCCGCCTTTTTCAGTGACAAGCTTGTAGAGAGAGTAGAGATCCAACACCTGCTTGGCCATGATAGGAATCCGATTCACTGGAGTCCCTGCAGGAGCCGGGGGAAAAAGCACAATATCCACAATCAATGCCATTAACTCAAGCTCATTGACGGGCCTCGCGGCCGCTTATAAGGCCAATCAGTCAAGCATAAGTAAAACGTCCGACAGCTTCCCACTCCACTTAGCAAAAATATCACTTTTTCCTTCAGTCAAAGGTCTGCACTGTCTGTTTTGCCTCTAGTGAAAAGAAAGACCTGTGGCTTCTTATTTGGAGAACGATTGGATTTATGTAAGAGTGAAATCTCAATCAGTAAAAATAATTTCACACTGTATGTACTCAAAGTGAAAATAATTTATCATGATCTAATATGCACCTTAAATCCCAAACAGTAGTTGGAAATAATCATTTTGACTATAAAGAGCAAATGGCCTTTTTAAAAGAGAACAAAAGTCGCCAAACATCTAAACTCTCGGATGTCGATGCTTAAACACTGCTCTCCTTCATACTGCCAGTTCATTTGTTGAATGAAAAAAAACCTTGGTGATAATTTGTGCTCACGATTTAATGTTAGGTTGTAATGTGCGAAGAGGATAAGCCCTTTGTGTGCATCTGAGACCGCCTGACCTCAAGATAATTAACCTGTATTTTGCTGATAGAGTTCTATTGTGCCCATTGGATTTGCCATAATAGCAATCAATACGTAGAGAAATATAGAGCAAACAACAGCAAGCAGAGCCACAGTCTGAAAAGAGCAAGGAGAGCAGAGCTATGGTCTATCAAGGTAAAAACACATCAATTAAGACTTGTAATTACGGCTTCATTTAGCCTCTCTGGCATGTAAACTAAGAGACACTATTAAAACCAAAGATTTATCTGCCTTCTCTCCGAGACAATGCTGGCATTAGATCTAAAGTAGCACAAACATCTAAAACAATCGATTGATGTTTCTAACTTCTCCTCAAATTGACCACACAATCACTGAAGTGAAAGTAACTATCAAGGGTCTTGATTTGAAAAACCTGAAATGGTTTAAAGTAGTAGTTCTCAACTGGATTTGATTCAAATCATACTTTACACTGGAAATCAAGTAATAACGCAACACTGTACAAATCGTTTTTCTGTACAAAAAAACAAACAAACAAACAAAAAAGCTGTCTTAAAGTCGGCATGAAACGGAATAACGATTATCTTTTCTTCTCTACTGTGACGTCTATCCGAGTGAAACGGCATCTGAAATGAAAGGGCGGGACTTGATTTCGTCCTTCGGGAATTTATTGGATCGTTGGAAGTTGGGGCGTTGCTAAAAAAATGGAGGTAGATCTGAATGCCAGTTTGCAGTTAGTTGTGGGTGGATTTCTCTCCACTGGATTCACCGCCGACACCCTCGCATGAAGAAATTGTTTATTTATTGAGGAAGATGACGACAAGGACGATCAACGGCACAAAACATGCCTAACATCGCGCGCGCGAGAGAGAGACTGCCTGAATGACTGAGCGCGTCCTCCATCAGGTCAAGTCATATTCATAAAAAAATAGTTTGCGATGTCCTAAGAGTAATGTTGTCGTAATATCCTAATATCCTTTACATTTTTAAGGTTAGTGTACTCCCCCATGGCTTGCGTCAGCACTGGTCAATGCATTGATTTCTATAAAGTGAAGCATCAGCTTCAGCTTTTCCCCCTGTTGTTTATCCCAGCGTTTACCCCTCACGTCACTAGCTCCGCCCTTGCACCATAGCTCGTGACCGGATGAGAAGATGAGTCGTTTTGAGGGGGAGGTTGACGTTTTTGATTAAAGATTACAAGGGCACATGAATAAAAAAAAAAAAATGAAGTGCACGGATAAATTATTTATAATAAACACAACAGTATTCCATTAAAGGGGTCATATGATGCGATTTCAATTTTTTTCTTTCTCTGTGGAGTGTTACAAGCTCTTGGTGCATAAAGAAGATCTGTAAAGTTGCAAAGACTAAAGTCTCAAATCCAAAGAGATATTCTTAGCCGTTCCTCACTCAAGCCCCCGGCCTCTGCTCACTATAGCAGTCACTATAGCAGTCAATCATAATGCACTGGATAGCTGGCCAATCACAGCACACCTCGCTTTTTCAGACCGATGAGCTTTGTAAAAATCGACGCGTTTCAGAAAGGCGGTGCATAGAGGAGAAACAATAATGTACAGTATGTGGAAAATAATGTGCTTTTTGAACCTTAAACCGCATAAACACATTTCATTACACCAAATACACCAAATAATGTTCTTTTTAGCAACATCAGAATTTTCAATTTTTATTTCATGCCGACTTTAAAAATAACACTCTGAAATGTATTAAAAAATAATGAATTTAAATAAAATTAATCTTGGGCATAGAACACACTGTGGTTGGCAAACAATTTATTTATTTAATTATAAAACATTTTATAATCTAAAACAACATTAAACTTATTTCGTATTTTCTCTAAACCTTCTTGGATATCAAGACAGGCACCCTGCAATTCTGGCCATATTAAAGATACACTGTGTGTGAATTTGCACATTATAATGTAAGCATCATTGACCCCTTGTGTTTAATAAAAAAATAGTCAAAGAATGATTTAATAAAAAATGAGAATGACTAGTAATTGTCTCTAATTGGCCTGATTAGCTAAGCCCTCCATAAAAACACTTATTATTTAGTGGTACAGTATTGCATGATTTGTAGATTATATTTAATAGTTTATTTAGTTTAATAATAATAGTTTATAGTTTATTTAACTATAAATGAGGCGATATTTGACTCCTTAAAGTAATTCGCAGGTTCAAAAACGCAGATTTATTCATTGAGTTTTTGACGAAATAGAGCACAATCAGGCAATGGTGTTCACTTAATATTAACTTTTGTATAATATCAAAAATGTATAAAACTGCTGTATAAATTCAATGTCACAGTTGCAAACTTCATAAACATTAAAAAGCTGTCACTCGTCTTAGTTCATCGCGATCTCACAAACTTCCATTATAATTTATGAAGCTCTCTACACTGCACACTGAATCTATTATTTATTGTCTACACTTTGTTTGTTATAATGAGAGGATCTGAGCTTGAATGACTCAGCACTGAACAAAAACCGCAGTCTGCTTTCACGATCTGTACTGTGAGGAGCAGGAAGTGCAGCGATAAAGAAGCATTTTCATTGGCTGCAGTCTGCAGGTATTATGGCCAATCACAAAAGACGGCATTGCACAGCTAGCCATAGACACAAATATCCTGCTATGTTTTTATTATATATTGCGCTACGTTTATGTGCAGAACTGGGATCGATTTCGTAGGCTATTGAATGGATAAAATATGGAAATCACTGTAATTTCCAAAAAAAACCTAAGCAGTTGAAAGTGTAACGCCATCCCCTCTCGAAATGTACTCACCAGCCCTGCATATAAGCCAAAACGATGTCAGGCCTATATAATCACTCTTTTTTGTATGCATATTGCATAGTTGTGCTAGGAGTGTAAAACTAATGTCCACTCTTTCATTTGTGATAACGCAATGAAACATGTCAAAGTCATTGTTCTTGGTCATTGTTTTTGACCAAGCTGACATACAAAGCTTATTAACCCCAGCCTATAATTGATTCAAATAAAATAGCAGGTTTTAGCCATTTTATTAGACATAATTTTGTGGGTTTTAGTGAAAATGGCAAAGAGGAAGGAGATGTCCTCTGCAACCAAGGATAATATTATCAAAATGGCTAAATCTGGTCAATTGACTTTGGATATTGCTTATTTGCTGAATCTGAATGTCCGTAGATGTATTGCATAACACTGTGAAACAGGTACTATGCAGAATAGGCCAGTCAAAGAAGACTAGTTAGCATTTTTACAGTAGATTGAAAATCACCTCATTGTGTGAATGCTTCAAAATAACTTCTAAAGTCCTGGATGAGATTTGCAATTGTGAGAAAATGTCTCCTGTAATCAAAAACAAGCGAGAACTAACAAAATATCTCTATTAATAACTGATTGAACTGTAATCAATCTATGCTTATTTCCTGTGCGCTTTTTGTTTTTCAATGCATTTTTTTTTTGCATAGTAAAAGTTGCTTGCCTTTCCATATAATTTTGTCAGGTTAATACCTTAAACCTTCAAGTTTAGTGTTTTCATCTTCCCAATATAACATATTCCTGTTTTACTTAATAACTTTTAATAACTTTTAGGGTTAATATCTGCTTAATATTTAAGCAAATATTGTGCAAATATTCCCTCCGGACATCACTTGCAAAACCTTCCCTCCTAACATACTCCTTACTTAACATACCTTATAATGTACAAAGTTAAAACACAATAATGCACAAATAATTATTTATTCCCATGCACAAAAGACCAAGTGAAATGAGGCTGGAGCAAATAAATAAAACCTGACTCTACAAAAGCCACCTTTGGACTGAATCTGAACCTGGATAACCATCTTTAAAACAAGATTTACGAGCGCTCGATTTCTGAGCTGATGTATTCATCTCCTCTAGTTCCCTGAATAAGATGCAGTGAATAAAGGCCAGTACGAGCTTTTGTCATCCCAAACAATTTGATCTGGTCATGCATCATTATGACAATGAGTGATTGTGGAGTGCAGAGAAACACATTTCGCCGAGCTCACATAGTTGCCTGCTGTTAATTGCTCACTGGCTAAAAAGGTTTAATTGAAAATGTGCTGAAGGGAATAAGCTGGTGTTGGGGCCAATCATCTATGTGGCTGCCTTCATCAGCAGTCTGCGTTTTAATCATTCACTTCAGCCAGATAATGGAAGGACAATGTGGCTGCGATTGCTTGGTCTTCCGAAGCATGAAATGAAGGGCTAATTTGTAGAAAAAAAAAAAAAACTTTATCCATGTGTATAAAACAGGCAAATTGTACTGACCAACAAGCCTGAGTAAGTCCTCTATGATGTGTTTGTCAGGAACACTAGGTAGCTTTACATTACATTTATTAATTTGGCAGATGCTTTTATCCAAAGTGACATTTAAGATATGCTACAAAGGCAACTCTTCCTAAGGAGCTAGTAACAGGT